TGGAGAATGTATTAATATCCTCCTGAGCCCCAAGCATGCGCATTTACTGTCACCTTAATTCATCCGTTTATATGCTTACCAAATATAGGTGTCCTAAAAGGTACTTTATACTGGAACCATTTCAGTGTTTAGCCTCACTATAGCAGGAGGGTGAGGCGCTTAGTCATTTACTCTGAATGTTCAATCAAATAAAGTCTGCCAATATCCTAATTTTCTAGCATAGTTTTTTTCAAAGACTGAACTAACCTATCTGGCTCATTTTGGAAATACAGACCATTTTTTATGAAATTAAAACTGGTTAATGACACTGGAAGTGAAGTTGTGGGGATGTGTGGTGAATTAAAGTAAGAAAAATATTACTTTATAGGAGAAGGACCTTGAAATGCACTGTATAAGATGGTGCATAGTTACTGTGCTGCTGTCACATTTTCCTTTCTGCTGCCATGTCAGTTACACAGCTTCACAATTACATCCATATGAATAAATAATAAAATATGAGTAAAATATTAGTAAATTGTAAATTGTGAACATGTGAATACAAAAATGTTTTTGCAGCCTAATTACCAGAAAAAAATGCAAGCCTCGGACACGTTACGTTTGCTCACTATTATGTAGCAAAGAGTGGCACCGGCAGGATTATATTCCATAGTGCACAGCTGTAAGGTACCTTTAACATAGGTTCCCATTAACGTTACCGACACAACACCACCATAAAACTCTGGTTTGCCTGTCACATGCATTTCAAAAACAAGCCAACAGACCTAAAAACAACAGCCAGAAAAATAATAGTACAATATAATACACTGAATATAGTCCAGAGAAACGTACAGGCATTTAGCAGACAACAGGTTCCCTCATTTTGCAGCATTACACAGCAACAGTTAGATATAACAAATATACAGCAACAATATGTAACACGAAGCCCAAACCAAGCTGCTAACTACTTTTGCTTGCTAATGCACAAGGTAAGTAACACAATAATGCGAACCTAGCATCACAATTGAGCGCCGGGAATGTTTATCAAACACTGAACTCTGGCCTGTGACATGCACCAATCATCGGCATCCAAATGTATTTGCGTCATAGTGAGTGGACGTAGCCACAAAATGCATCTCAGGCACATTCATCAGTGAAAAAGAGCCCAAAGACACGCTCTGCTGCTTTTGTCATGATTTTAATTTCAAGATAGGATGATAAATCATTGAAAATAATGTACACACAGTGCGTATAGGATTACAGCTCCTGGTGCCACTGGTAGCAGATATGTTGAAACCTAACCTGGTTAAGTTGAGCCACAAAAAACACTTGGCTATGGTTTGGGAATTATCATGTTGTGGCTTAAAATACCCTATTTGGGGGACAGACAAGTAGATGTCTGGGTAAAAAAACAACCGCTCTTAGGCCACAATATCAGCAAGAACAGCAACAACGTCTGTAAAAAACAAACACTTTGGAAAACAGCAACGTTTGGTGCCTACAAAGCTGCTGGGAACACGAGAACACAGCAATGACTGGCTAACTGTGGTCTGCAGCCACATCTTGTCACTTTACAAACGTTGGTATAATATGTACAAAACGTACAAATGTAACATATGCGGTTTGCATTAACGTACAATGCCAGTATTTTCTTCTGGTGATTGTCGAACTGTTTTCTTGTTGATCTTGATATTTAATATTTTCTAAATATTCTTTTTCCAATATATCTTTCAGCCACCAGCACTGAGGGCAATGTTTTATACCAGCCATTCAATCCACCCGCACACTATGTCTTTGAGTTTGCACTCCCACCAGATTTCTTCTGTTTGGCTCAAAGTGTCACGAGCAACTTCGAACACGAGACCCTCCTTAAGCTCCAGTATGTAACCTGCATGGGACCACAGTGTGAATAGTGAGCTCCTGATTCAATGGCAGTCATTGAAATTCCATTTTAAATGGTTGATTTACCCAAATAAAGAAATATTCTATTTTTTCATTTGCCCGTAGCGGTTTGTATCCATGCAATGAGATATGGTTTGATTCAGCCAGGTTTTGATATATTCATCTCATTTACATTTTAAAAAAATCTTTCTTTTTCCAGAAACCTTGTCCTTGTTTCTCTCTGCAATCAGCAGAACTCACTGTGAAAAGTTTTCAATGGAAAGACTTTATAATGAAGAGACAGTCTTGTTTAGGAGTGCAGGCAGAAACCTCAGATGGATATAACCCAGGTAGATTAAACAAAACTATCTGCATTGCTCAACACTTCCAGAGCTGTTGTTTGTAAGTAAAAAGAGTTTTTGTAATTTGGGTGAACTGACCCTTTAACTCAGAAGCCACTCACTGCACTATATGTCTTCTGTCCTGGTTGCTCGTGGATCGGTAGAGCTCATTAGATCATAACTTGAGCTCAGTAGTCTTACTTTGAGGCTTCATATTGTACCTGCAGTCTTGTGACTTACTGAATGTTTCTGCTCATTTGCAGATGATTTGCTCCCAGTCACTCGAATGCCAGACCTCAAAGTGCACAGTTAAATTTTCATCGGTGAAAGAGGATGTTTAAGTATGGAGGTGTTAAAAAGAATACTTCACCCAAAATATCAGCTACTTATCGTGTGTCACCCTGAATTCAATGCCTCCACGGTGAGCGGAGAATCCAAAATAGGCGAACATTCTTCATAAATTGAAGTCATAAGGGACCATGTTTAACAACAGCAAAACTATATCAAAACATCCTTTTACAAACACGTCTCGTGCAGTATAATCCAAGTCTCATTTATCCACTCATATGCCCAGTACTTCCCAAATATGGCAGCCATCTTTGCTAAAATATTACAATATAAAAAACTTCCGCCTACGAGTAGTGCACCTAGTAGCGTAAGTTCGAACGCATGCGTAGGCCCAGCCCCTTCTCACTCTTTACCTGTCAAATACCAGCACTTTGTCATTGATGTCAGCATCAGACAGCGCATCAGTTTTAGAGGAAGTGGGCAACAATCCGAGTTGTCAAATACCAGCACCGTGTCAGTGGACGTCAGCGTCAGAAACAGACGCGTGAAGACACCCCTCTCAGCGCTATGATGCAAACCAGGGATCAACAGTTTGTAACACCGACAGCAACTACCATTAAATAAAGAGTGAGTAAGTGCGTAAAGGGTGGGCAAGAGGGGAGGTGGATGGATCGAACAAATTCCAGATGTTCACCAGGGAGCCTGTTGTTTGTTCCCCATGTGAATGTTCAGCCAACTTATATGTTTTTTAATAAACTGAACCACATACTATTGTTGCCTAAATCTAACCACAGACATTTGTAGCCTAAACCTGAGGAACTAAAACTTAAAAAAACCCGAAGTGTTTTACTTATGTTGTAACTTTAGTTTGCAAAGGGCTGTATGTTCTGTAACAAGCAGAAACTGTACAATTCCTGTGAAACTGGAAGTGCTCTCTGAGGAGACACAATGCATCTAACAAACGTAAGTGGATACGCCATCCCTGAACATCCGTAACAGACACAAGAGGGTACGTAGCACATCATATTTGAATGTGTATGTCCACTAACAAAGCAGCAATATTTGACAAGTTGGGATGAGAACGTGTTGGTGTGCATCGGCACACTCCTTGGTCGTGCATGAGACTGTTAGTACTGATACGTTTTAAATCATAGTGTCATTGTGAAATTGCAGTGTGTTCCAGAAGTACTGAGCATATGGCTGGATAAATCAAACTTGCATTAAACTGCACAAGTTGTGTGAGCTTTTAAATGAATGCTTTGATATAGTTTTGCTGTTGTTAAATGTGTCTCTGTTTACTTTAATTCATGAAGAATCTTTTGTGTTTTTTTGGATTCGCTGTTCACTGTGGTGGTATAGGAGCTGCTGCAGCTGCAGTCAAGTTTTGCATGTAATATTTAACCTTTAAAATGGTTTGTCCTTCTCGCTGAAGCCCGAGCGCACTCAAACATGCTCAACATGCCTCATCCATCAGCATTTTTTAAGCATGCATTTAACGTATGATCTGGTGGTTGTTGCCCTTACCAAACAGAATTTGTTAACACCAGCTCTCAGAGGACTCAGTGTGCTGTATGTATGTCTGTTTTCTGGAAGGAAGGCTTCTACATCTACACAGGAACACGAGTACTATAGATTTTCACACATCACTGAGGTCTGCAGTAACTTCAACCCAAGAATATTTTTTCTCACCTCTAGGGCACTGCGTTTGAGTTCCTCATCCATTTCAAAAAGTTTCCGCTGGAATCTCTGAGCGTATATAAAGAATGAGCAAAGCTCGAGTGGCTATTTAGAGTGATGCAAAGACATGTTACACCATCTCAATCTGTGTCAGCCTATATGCTATGTACACTTGGAAGACGTCAGTGTCTGTTTGTGCCATATAGAATTATCACCTCTTAACTATATGACATTTCTGGAGAGAAAAAAACAATCATGGCACAGACGGAGAGGGGGTGGGGTGGCATTTGTCAGTGCTCTCATTGGGGTTCAAAAGTAGAATGTAAAATGTCTGTCTTTGTCTAATCCAACACATTTTATTTTTGTAACTGAGAAATCTGTTCAGGGACCCCAACATTTTTTCCAACTGTCAGGGTGTCATTTATCAGGAAAAAAAAAAAGTGAAACTGAATTCCCACCCCCAGTCCTTCTGTATGTTGTGAGGTTATAAACACCCAAGGTGGGGGGGGGTGTAAGGGACACACACACACGTGGACATGGCGACCTCGAACACACTCACTTCATGGTCATCTTGCCCTGCAGGAAGCACTTTGGCTGATCTCCTGACTTCCTCTTTGACACTGTTATGCCCTATAGCCTCGTCTTTCGCCAGCCAGCGATGACTTTTCAGGAGCTGAAGCTGTTGGACTCGCAAGTATTGTCCCTCATGATTGAGATGTTAACCTCCAGGGCAGCCCCTTGCTCTTTAGTGTCTCATTTTTTCTCCCCTCTTCTCCTTGTTCTCCTCCTCCTCCTGCTCCTTCTTCTTCTCCTATTCCGTGGTTTTCTCTCTGCCAGCAGCCTGCACAGTGAGGCCGCGGAGCCATTAATGAGTCCCAGCACTGATAATGAAGCCACAGAGGTGGTCCGAGCCAGTGTGGCACAGGAGCTGCAGCACAGGAGGAAGGTAGATTAGGATAATTACCTGGCCACGGGGGAATGATGAGAAAGATGTCTCACTTCTGCAGGCCCTGATCGACGACGGAGCAAGTACGATATAATGAGGTGCAGACACCCTTTGCTCGGAAAGAAAAGAATAAAGAAAAATTGAAAAATTAGTTCCTAATGATCAAAATGTGAAATTACGTATTTTTGATTGTGCTGTGACAGTGATTGCTCCTTCTCTGCTCTTGCAGGCGTCCTCCACTTCCGCCCCGCACGTATGTATGTGTTTATTTGTTGTTTATGTAGCTGTGCTTTAGGTCTCACACATACTGTACATAAGTCCTAAACATCCACACTCACAGAGACTTTGAAGAGCCTATGAGGTCAGGTTTTAAATTATGGTCTGCACCCACACCAAGCGTTCTCTCCCCACTCCTGTAAATCCATTTTCCACACAATGCATTTCAAATCAAAGCAGCGTCACCATAACATGCCTTAGGAAACATTAAGCCATAGTGCAGTACTTTCATGTATGATAGCATAGCCCCTGTATGCTTTGATGTGCTCACTTTTTTTTTAATGCTTTATTAATAATAACACACTGGCTCCTTCTCACACCAACACCAGCTTCTGGTGCTCCTTTTCTCTCCTCCTGAACTACATCCCTCACTCCTTCCATGCCTCAGCTCCTTCATCCCTCCCCAGCCCCTGAGCCTTGTCTCGGGATTGGCCTGTTTGTGTTTGGGAGGGGGATTAGAGGGAATGACATGGGTCTCAGAGATGAAGAGAGTGACAAAGACCTATCAGAGGGCAGAGAGTGCGGAGCGCTGCATCACCATTGGTTGCTGTGGAAATCAGACACGTCTTCATTTCTTCCAGCCATCCTCTCCAAAGTGCCCAGCTTTCATTTCCACGCCTGGGGAGGGAAGCAGGGAGAGGAAAGAGAGAGGATGGAGAGGGGGGGGGGGGGGCAGGATTAGAGTTTCTGTTTGTGCATTTAAGTGCGTGCGCGAGTGTGTGTTTGCTTGCATGTTGTGTGCAGTAAACATCGTAGAGATACAGAGGGATGAGCGCGTAGACACTGATAGCACTCACCTCCTCCAAATCTGGCCAAAATACAAATGCTGTAACAGTCTAGTGTTCTAGCTGAACACGTTCTCATGAATGGGATGCCTGATTCATAGACATGTAAGACCTACTTAGGATACAAATGTCTCACTGATTTCCCTCATTATTTCAGCTTTATCCACGGATATTGTGCATTAGTGTTACAGGCAGAGGTACCCCCAAAGCAAACAATGGCTGCTCAGTATTTGCTGATGTTTTCTTTCTGACAATTTCAAAGCAATGTCTGCAATTTACTGAATCGCTTAGCAGCCTCCCCACATTCACATGCGTGTGCAGATGTGCACAAACATCTGCTGAATTAATTTCCTGCTTTTGTGTTTTTCCTTTTTGTCCATGCTCCTTTTTGATGTTTATTTCCTCTTTCTGTTATGTAGCATCATTCAATCTCGATTTCTCGTGTTACGATAATTTCAGCCAGCGAGTCATTTAAATGCAATCTGTGGATGTATTCTGTAAAAAAATAAATATATCAATATACTAAAGTAACTCATTTCCTTTTCTTTCAGACTGCGCTGTGTGCAGCTACATTTCCAAAAGCTCTGCATTGACCTGCGTGTATTTAATTTGTCACATACCATACTTGCATGTATGCACACTCACACCAATTAGTCAGTGTTGTCCAATGTTTGATACACAGATTTGACAGCATTCTGCAGTGGAAACCCTTCCTAAAGTTCTCATACGATGCCCGTTGGGCTTGTTGTGCACCAGACTGTTGTCAGTATTTGCCTGCTTGTTAGGATGCAGCCAGTTGACTCTGGCTGTCTGAGCAGTGATATGACTGGGAGCAGTGGGGCTGGGCCCCAGCCGACTCCACTCTCCTCCTCGCCCATAATAGATCTGCGTGGTCTGCAGGCTCTCTGGGGGCACCTGGCTCCCCTCCCTGCCATCTCTGGCCGGATCGATCGGTGAGGCCGTCCCAGCGCAGAGACCAGGGGTCATCTTCAAACGCCTCCTGCCCACTTCCTGCCACCTGGTGCTCCATTTCGGACAAAGGGTACATTTCCTTTCCACTGCCTCCACCCCTCCGTTGCCCTTCTGCAAACAGGTTAAGGACATGGAGCCGGTACAGCTCCTCCCTGTGATCTCCTTCAGCCTCCTCCCTAGTCGCCCACACGGGGAGAGAGGTGAGAGATCAGTCCCACCAAAACACCACACAATCACACACCCTATTGATGTGTGATTTGATTTAATTATGGCTTAAGAATGTGTTTTTCTCTAGACGGAAGTGATTTTCGGTTACCTTTACCTTTGGTTATATTCTCATTTTAATACACTGGCAGGTGTCTAATATATAATGCATCCATAAAATGTCAGTGACAGAATAACCACATCAACACACAGCATTATTCATTTACAGGATATATTTTAATTAGGCAATTTTCATTTCACGACACAGTATGCTAAAAAAAAAGTTATTTAGGTAATGGTTTATAATGATGCATTAAATTAAGTGAACTTTTTGGCTTTCACTTGAAACATGTTTCATTATTAACTGATCAACAGATCTGCTATGGTAAGAATATCTCCATCTCCCTTTCCCTGTTGGTCAAGTAACAAATGGCAGGGCTATCGAACACACATTTTATCTCCATGAGGGCTGTCGGACAATTAGCTCCAAGAATACATATTAATCAATCGAGATTTTTGAATCTGTTTATTAAGCCCAGCCATTTTTTTCCCTCCAATACATTAGCAGATCTCAGTATGTCCGCTACTCTTGTGAACAGGGATGAGAAGGAGATAGAGGGAGAGGAAATAAAGGTCTGATGAGTTTGGCAAAGAGAGGATGGAGGCTGAGACAGATGGCATGAAGTCTGCAGCACTCTGGCGTGGCTCGCCTGGTGCTAAAATCCTTCTCTCTCACATTCCAACAAATCCTACCAGGAGGCTGGGGAGTCTGTCACACCACTCCAAGGATCCACACGGCTCTCTTCAACCCCCCTCTCCTCCTCCTCCTCCTCCTCCTCCTCCTCCTCCTCCTCCTCCGTCGCCCCGGCCCAACCGAGCCCCTGACCACTCTCATATTATATCCTCACATATGTATACATTCACACATTAACATGTATAGAGGTCGACCATTACAGGCCTGGCGCGATAAGAAGCACCGGGGGGTGCAGCTATGACGAAACGCTGTCTAACTGCTCTTATGGAAAAGGAACCAGGGGGGCTTAATTGAGAGAGGTGGCCTTTACTGTCACTCCAGTGTATGAAATCTTATTCAGTAAACACTGAGCCAAATCATCAGGGACTGTACAATCCATTTATATCAGAGGAAGAAGACATAAGAAGCTTTTTGATTAGTTTCACCACAGCCTGCATCAGCCCAGTCTCCAGCAGAAACACTGCAGCCCAATCTCAATCCAAACATGCGCTGCTCAGACCCATATTTCAAGGCTCCCTGTGGGCCTTACAACCCAAAATGGACAGTAAGTGTAACTGTGATTACACACATAGCACAAGACCAACAACTGGATCAGGGGCTCAGCGTGACATCTCCCTCTCCAAATACTGTACTATTGGATATTCTTTAAATGTGTGAAGCATGCTCCTCTTTTACCATCTCAAAGTGGTTCATCTAATAAGAACAATCTAATTTATTTTACACTGTGCTCTCTCCCCGTGTCTCTTTCTCGCTGTCTTTCTGCCTGCCTTCTGTTTGTTCTAATGAATGACTTCTGAGATGAGTTGCTGCTGTGAGGAGGTCACGGGGGGGCTTCAGAATCACATTACTGTTAATGATAATAAAAAGAACAATCTGTGCTAAACCTCTTGGAAGTCTTCTCTTCTCTGCCCATATGGAGCGAATGTTTTATCTGCTATTGTTTTGAATGTCTTTACACGTTTGAATTGAAGTCTATGCAATTAAAATGCACAGCAAATATTGTTTTGTGTGTTTGTGTTTCCCATGCATGCATTGTTTATGGACACAACAAGGAGGCTGATAAAAGGTATACAGTGGTGCACCATCTGGGTTACAAAGTACACCACCAAGCACAACATCAGGCACATCTTAGCAACATGGTGCTGCATGTGAAATGATATTCCCCACGGTAACATTTTAAGTGCACAACGAATGCAAAGAGCGATCAAACTGCAAACACAAGTTCTAACATTTGACGAGGGTTATGCAGGAGTCAGGCTTTATTGATGTGACTTCAACTTTTTACTGACAAAAGGTTATAAGAGCTCTCAGCTTTTGGTCCAACTCTATTCAACTTGAATTAAAGCAATTAATTGGAATCTGTTTTCGTGCACAAAGCTGTTGAAGCAGCATTTGATGGATGAAAACTTTCCAACGCTAATAAGCACTGCATTTTTAAAACTTTGCCTGAAGAAAATATTGGCATTGTACATTTTTGTGACCCAGGAATAAGACACACATTGTACATTTCATACGAGTCATGTCAACGTTTCTAAAGTGTCATATGAGCTGACTTTGTCATGTGGAGGTGGAGGGGATGGCGGATGGTGTGACACCTGGCCGAGACGTCTGCCAAGCTGCAGACCACTGTTTGAGACCAACACACAACACACAAACAACAGCTTAGTTACCGAACATGGGTATTTTTTAGCAACTGTCGTTCTTCTTTCCAGCAGGGATAGTGCCATGAAAATCAGTTGTTTTTTAGTGCCTCTGAAACCGGGTATTTTGAGCCAAAATGCAATCTTTTCCGAATTAACAGCTGGAATTTAGGGAGTCATTGTGCTCCCGGTCGCTGTTGTTCCTGCTGGGATAGTGCCAAGAAAAGCGGTTGTTTTTTTACAGAGACAATGCTGCATTTCCAGCCGAGATAGTGCCCCTAAAACTGGGTATTTTAAGCCAAAACAATCTTTTTCTAGCCAGCAGCTGGGATTTAGTGAGTCATTGTGTTCTCAGTGGCTTTTTAGGAACCAAACTGTGTTTTGTAGCATTCGGTCACTGTGACATTTTAGGCACAAAAAGCTGTTGCTTTTGACATCTTTGCTTTTCTTGCCGAGATTGTGCCACGAAAAGTGATTGTTTTTTACAGAGACATCACTGCGTTTCCAGCCAGGATAGTGCCTCTGAAACCAGGTATTTTAAACCAAAACGCAATCTTTTCCTAACTAACACCTGGGATTTAGCGAGTCGTTCAAACATGAGTGTTTTGTAGCGTCCGGTCACTGTTTTATCTGCTGATAGTGCCAAAGAAAGTGGTTGTTTTTTACAGAGACAACGCTGCGTTTCCAGCCGAAATAGTGCCCCCAAAACTATGTATTTTAAGTCAAAACACAATATTTTCCAGCAGCTGGGATTTTGTGAGTTATTGTGTTCTCGGTGGCTTATTAGGCACGAAACATGAGTGTTTTGTAGCATCCGGTCAGTGTTTTTCCAGTGACTTATTAGGCACAAAAAGCTGTAGCCTTTTAAAGGGACATCTTTGCTATTCTTTCTGGGATTGTGCCTCCCAAATGGGGTATTTTAAGCAAAAAACATGGTATTTTCCTTACTGTAACCAAGAGGATTTTGTGCCTAAACTTAATCTGATGTTAACCACAGCATTGTAGTCACTTAAAGAAACTGCAACATGATAATGCACTAATGTAATGTATCCGTGATTTGCAGAAAAGTACATCTTTTCTGGAGACTAGGCTGGAAAAACATTTTCAAATGACTATGAGCAAGTTTCACCTTGCTCTGCAGTGTTTCAGCGCTGCTACAGGTCGTCATTTCAACATCTACTCAACACTAAAGTGTTTGCTGGGATTGTTTACATGGATCTGACATTCACAAGCAGATCATCAGTGACTTTCCCCTCCCGCCACCGTGGAGATAGAGTCGCTGGCTGTCCTTCCTGTGTGGCAGGGCAGCGTGGCGTCCCCAGGCTCATTGGCACTGCAGCTGTCACCCACAGGATGGGAAAGTGGCAGGGTCGATGGCTCCGCGGCGTGGCTTCTGGCAGCATCCGTCCCTTCCTGGCCCGGCGAAAGGGCAGGGATGGGGAGCCCAGTCTCTCAGTGCATTGATCGAGGGCCAGCCCTCCATTAGCCACCGTCAGAGCTAAAGGTCAGCTAAGGCCAACGGATGGGTCCTGTGTGTGCATCCTATGGAGTGACTCATTCTCACACCCAGGGAGTGAGTCCTTGTCATTTCGGTCTGTGCTGCCCCCTGCTCATGGTGGCCACATGACGATGGCCATTCCTCTAAAAACAGCACACACCTCCCTGATGGGCTGATGCGTGCCAAATTCACTCCTGTTCACACTGTTTGATGTCAGCCACATTATGCATTATTGTTGCTTTTAGAGATATTACTATCCCCCGCCAAATTAAAAAAAGCCTTCCTTTTAATTTTCTTCTACAGAAATTGCTTAATAAATGAGCAGGCCCTGATTTGCACTGATGATCACACAGCAACACAATTGCATCAAATTGCTCACCCAGAGATGGTGCGCCACATCGTGCTCATCACTGAGTGGCAACTACTGCCTGGTGTGGTTTACATTAATGCAGCCAGGCTGTGAAAAGGGGATAATTGTGGTGCTAAATGCTGCAGAGGCTGACAGGATCCATTTCTTGACTTGTCAAGGGCAGCAGTGATAGAGAGGGTCGCGCCGGAGTCTACACACACAGAGGCGGATGAGCTTATTTACACCAACAGGCGCGCACACATGTGAGCACACACACACACAGACAAAATCAGACCACACTCCACATAGAGATGATTGTCTCTTGCCTCTGTCAGGTTGTGCTTTTTTTCTACAGCCATGGAGACCTCATCCTGGGAAATTGAGCAATTTCTGATTGAAAACAGTGGCGGTAATTAGAGCACTCACTATTTGTAACCACTTGGCATTGCATTAGTATGCAAAGCTGGCAGCCAGCTTATCTTGGGGAAAACGTTTGTTTCCTTAATTGCCCTCTTAGGACAAAAGTGAAGGGGGTGGGTGGGGAGGGAAGAGAGTAAAATGTTAACGTGCTGCAGTAAGAATGGAGCCTGGTGTGTTGAGGGGATGTGACTCCCTGAACACAGGGGTAAAATTCCACTAATAGGCTGCATACAACACACATGGGCACACACGCAGGCACAGAGTAACAGTGGAGCACTCATACACCCACATATGGGCACACACTTGCGTTGGCACATGGGCACATGGAGGCACAGACAAAAAGACAAATATGATGAGCGCACACATTCCAGGACACACACAATTAGGCACAATTAAGTCCACAGACATACTGTATACTGTAAAATTAGACGTGTAGAAACAAGCATTCACCACACTAATGGATTAAATGACCCTGTCTTTAAATAAAGAATCCATTAAGAAGTAAAGCAGGAAATGAGCTTTGCTCAGCTCACTCTGCTGTTTCCTCAAACATACAGCGCATGTCATACTCAAATTGATTCATCAGACCTTGTCAGGCATTGAATGTAAAGCTTTCCCTGCAGCTCTCACCTCATTTGTACAGTTGAAATTGTGAAATGTGTAAGTACCTCATCCTACATGGCCTCTGTCATACTTCTTATGGTGCTTCTCTTACCTTCACTTTTAGAGGGGAGGCTGCGATTCTGCATTATTCTGCTGGACATCTTCTTCTTGTCACAGAGGGATGCACAGGGGAGTCTTATCAGGACCTTGATGGGAGGAAAACAAAAATGTTTCCACATTGAAATGTTACTTTTTGCTGCAAATATTTGGATTCAGATGTGCAAATATGCATTTTTTTTCTTTAAGTGAGGCATGCATTGTTCTTTGAAGTTTGCTGAATTACTATGATTCCCCCTGATTTTTGGACAGGGGTGTCTTTTTCCTCAGATGCACACATGGCGAGACATTTCACAAAACACAGAGGAAATGCTGCAGAAATGAAAATGTAAAGACAAGGGGGCATTTTTACTTTATTTTAAAACCACTTGTGCACATATGGAATCCGTGCTTACAATACTCACAATGACAGAGGGTTTCCTTTTCTTCCAGAAAATAAATGCAAATTTCTTGTTCCTCTAACTTTATTGTGAAGCTTTATTCCCTCTGATGAAGCCAATGCCGCAGCCATAAAGGCACGCGACATGCACTTCTTCCTGTTGAAGACAATTAACCCTTCACTCAGGAGCGGGATATTTTTACATGTCTGTTTTGTTCCAAATAAAATAAATAAAAAAAAAAACATTTAATGAAATATAAGAAACTGCGATGACCCGCTGAAATGTTCTCCTCTTTGAAGAGGTTATCACCACATGTTGAAGCGCCTCTTTCCAAGTCTAATCCGCTTACTCACAAACACGCACAAAGACGCAAAATCATTTCATATTAAGCAGAATCAAAGTCAGTCAGCGCGAGCTGCTGGGCGACACAAAGTCTAATAGAAACTGTATTTTAACACGACAATATTTGAATCATACACACATATAAAAAAAATCCTGCAAACACACACACACACACACACACACGCACACACACATAAAAAATGATGTTAAATGTTTGTTTAATCATAATTGTGACGTTAATAGTAACGTTTTACTTCTTGGACAATTATGTGCCATTGAAAAGGCTGATTTCTAAATCGACATGTGACAAGTAGAGTTTGGATGAAGTGAAGATAATTTGCATGAATTAGTTTCCTCTGTGTGTAATGGGTCAGCTGTAAACAGTGACACAAGACGTGATGTCAAAATTGAGCGTCTGAATGCACTTTTATATATTTATTATAAATAAGCACGCCGCCAATCAGAAAAAAAGAACAGAAATAACATGCAACAAATTATTTTTTAAAATAATCCAAAAAGCTCAAACAAAATAAAAGTAAAGCAAGAACACTTCTTCATGAAAACAAAAAAAAAGTTTATTTTAATTTAGCGGAAGTGAAATGAACAGAAGCCTCGGTGCCACAGGTGGAGGAATAAAGATGAAACCACCGCCCAGACTGTGGGCCTGTAGGCCTCCTGCTCTGATTCAGCCTCTCATTAAAAAATAAATCCACATTAAAACTATTCTCCAATCAGCTTTATTTTAGTCCCTAAAATGATAAAAGAGTCCTGATGTTAGATATAGGCCAATCCACATTAATTGGTGCCCGATGAAATAAAGTGTCCCCTTTCTTCTCACTGATGCTGCAGCTCATTCCCAACAAGGCAGCAGAGAGGGGAGAGTAAGTAAAAGTTTTAGGAGAGAAACAGGTTGATAAAAAAAAGTATTTATTTTCCATTCGCAAAGTTTGCACCACAATAAAAGAAACAGCATCCTATCATGAATAAATAAATAAATAATAAATCTTCCACACCACCTGACAGGGACGAGGGGCACGTGACCGCGAGCATCACACATCCTTTTATAAATGATTTGGATGAATCATATTAGGATGATTGATTTAAAGATAGGATGCATTCAGGGGACGCTTTAATTAGCCGCAGCTAATAAAGCAGCCATTAAAGTGATCTGCCTTAATTGGTCCAAATGCTGAAATTATTAAGAAGTATGTGCAAATGTTTATATTTACACCTCCAGATCCTGCAGGCGCGCACTCACGTGCACACGCGGCGGGTGGGCTAGGAGACTGTGTGTGCATGTGTGTGTGTGAGTGTGTTAAACATGGACACATTTCCTGATAAATTTCATGTCACTCAAATCAATCGTTGTGGCGTCTGCTGATTATTAGTCATGAGATAATTAAAGGTCTTCCTCTCAGGCTGCGGTTCAGTCGTCGGGCTCCATGTGATGAGTTTAACACACCAACAGGATGTTTTTCTATTCTTCTTCTTTTTTTTTGCATTTCGCCAAACAAAAACCTGAACACACTGATGAATGCTGTGTTACTTCAAAAGGAGCCCCCCCCCCTTTAGATCATCTCCGGCTCAAGGTTTGGGAATGTAAGACTTCCTTAAAGTTGTGAGGGCCAAACTGGCTTTAAGGAGAGCTGAATCAGTGTCCGTGTGTACACACCCCGTCCCAACAAAAGCAGGGGCTAATCCAGCTAATTTACACAATGCACAGGGCCCTGTTTACATGGGATATACCCACAGAGGGCCTCTGTCTCGTCCTCCATGTGTGTCAGACCGGACAGAGGTACTGCTTTATTTGTTCCCTCTCTCCTTCTCATATATACGAATGAAAGACAGTGAAAGAGCGTCTGCAACCAAAGCAGATAATGTGTCGCTTTAAAAGGAGCATCAGCATCTTTCTCTTCTTGCATATTTTCACCCGCTTCATAAAGCCACTTCTCCCTCACATGCATGATTCAAATATTAGATTTTAATGATGCATTCATGTCAGAAATGTTGGAAAAGTCTGCTCCGCGAAATGTGCAAACTTCACCTCAGTGCATTTATTAAACTGTGCAACGAATGAACACTTTTTAATTATGTATTTATACTTGCAATAACACTGGACTGTAACGAGTCATCATGCATCACACGCGTGGACACCAAATCATTATGTGCAGCCCCCTTTTTAACAAACAAATAAATTGAACAACTCTCCATGCAGCACCTGAACACACCACAGACGCACAAAAGCAGAATTTACCTAAAGGGCTATAAAGTGAATTTATTGTTTCTGCAGGCCGTCTCAAGCCAAGGCTTTGTTATGTGTCCAAGCAAAAAAATAACCTATTTTGTACGAGGACTTTGAACGCACCAATAATCTAAATTTAGCCCTAACAATCCAGCCCTTTCAGCCTCAAGCCCACTTTAATATAAGCAAGATGTTTTTGGCCTTTAATTTTTTTCTATGCCTCTGTTTATGATTTCCAACACAACCTCAAACTACTGCAAAACAGATCGTCCAAAATTATCATGCATGTGTCATTTACTATCTATAGATAATAAAATATATATTGTGATGTGCTCACTTGATGTATTTCTGCGTGCACACACAAAGTGCGTGGGCCTGTTTTATCAGGTACACACGATTGTTATGCTACTTGCTATTCACTGCAAAATAAACACCAAATATGCCTAATAAAACACTGCATTTTCCTGCAATTATGCATGTAACAATAGATGCATATACAAAGTAGGTATTTCAGATTCTTTTTTCCCCTTGAACGCACCCAAAAACTATTCTAAAATCTATTAAAGCTCAATGTGAACAAAAAGATGAATAATAAATTGTCTCCTTTGCAGACTGCATCCTCAATCGGCCCTTTGCGTCTGTCAGTGAATGCATCATTGTGTGATTTTATGTCTTTTCAGCTCAATCACCTTTTGCCTATTTAGGCAATAAATTAAGAGCTCTGGCAGCCGCGCGATTCTTTTTTTAATTACTTCCATTACAGTCCTAGATTTCCTGTTTATTTGCCTTTAGCCCTTTATATCTTCCCCCCGTCTGTAGGTGTGTTTTACTGTCTCCATAATAGCATTTTTTTTTTCTTCCAGGAGGGGTAATTACTTTGGCACAGGCAGGTAAATTCCGCCGCTAAATTGAAATATTCCGCTTTAATCCTCCCTAAATCCCAATTCTCAGGACACGGAGATGTGAGCAGCGGAGGAGTCATGTGGAGCTCCGGTTGCCTCTTCAGGTGAGCGTCGCGTCGCAGGGGGGCGGAGGATCTCCTCTCGCCGTCATAAGCATAAAACAAGATTACTAGATCTTTATCACGGAGCGTTTTTCCCCCCTCACACACAACAGCAACTCCACAATCTCTGCCTCAGATGGAGAAATGTTGCATAATGAGCAGGAATTGTAAGTTGTTGTTTTTTTCGTGAGGTATTAAAATGAATAAATACACTTGCATTCCTTTAACAAAGGAGCACGTGAAGATGCAGCACCTGATATCTTTGTTTGCATGCTCCTGCCTTTTAAATAAAAAACTTTATCCTTATAAATAAAATATATACATGATTGATCACATCTAAAATCTAGATTCTAGTTCTTGCAGGAGTAAACACTAGCAGAAGTTTCAACATCCTGCTTGTCATGGTGCTGCCTGAATTTACCCCCCCCCCCCCCCCCCCCCCCCCCCCCNCCCCCCCCCCCCCCCAGCCCCCCTATCTTTAATTTGTAGTCACTAGGAATAAAAGGCTGAGTCTCAGCTCTGGCAGCTCCCATGTCAGTCTTTGCAGGAGTGGGTGACAGAGAACAGCAGAGGCAGATAGCATGCTAAAATCGCTTCACTAGAGACCCCACATCAAAGTAGACCAAACCTCATATTGAGTGAACTTTTAAGCCAGAAAGACTGTGTGACATCAGAGCACCTAAAATGTGACTGTCATGTTTTTCAAACTTCGCTGAACACAAGCTCAAAGACTTGAGAAGTATTCAATGGCAAGCGCTGTTCAAACACACACGCACACACACTCTAAGATTAGCAGGCTTTGTCTTACAGGAACCTCAAAGACCAATTAGATTGAGAGACGGGTGTGACGAATTTGTCAAAAATAAGATGATAGATATCACTTTGGCAGCGAGCAAACATGGCTGGGGATTTCACTCAAGCACAGTCATTGACAAGGCACTGTCAGAAAATGTGTCATCTTCAGCAGACCTGCCAGTTGACAAGGATGCAGCTTGGGATTGAGACTGATCAATTCCCAAACTGCCAACAAGACATGGCTCTGATGGCGGCACTTTATTTTGTGAAGCAAGGAAAAAAAGTACTGCTCGCTTGGATATATTGTCAACTTTATATTTGCATCACAGGCCTGCACCGTCCCAAGATGCAGCAGTAAGAAACCAAAAATTCCACATTTAAAAAAAAAACAAAAAACAGCAGAGTCATATTTATGTGTGGTTTCAAAACTTCTGACCTTCTGTGTGGACACGCTCGCAGAAGCAGCATACAAGCGCCCATGTCTGATTTTGTTGTTTAATGTACACCGATTCAACACGTCTAATGCTCCAGCTCGTCTTCGGCCAAAATTCCTAAAGTGAAATCCGATACTCAAAGCACTTTCCTCTTCAAAGTAGTTTCCTGTTGTGCTTTGTGACCACAATAGTGTCAATCTCGTACTTTCAAAGCCTCATCTCCGTGTCAGCTTTGAGTAGCTGTCTATACATGTCTGCGAATAGAGTTGAGGCTTTGATGGCTGGTCTGAAAACAGTTGGGAACATTATGACAAAAATCCAGAAAGGGAAAAACTATTCCTATTGATTTGGCTGCACGCGGAATTTGACCTGTGGTTTGTGAATTTGCTTTCATAAGCAAAAAAAAAACAACAAAAAAACGTTTGATGGTTACAGCAGCTCGGAAACATTAGGTTGAAAAGCATTGTGGGAGATATAGGAAGGAAATTCCCCATCAGCTGTATATTACAAAAGGTTATCTCTGAATCTAAACCTGCATATTAAGATAGACTGAGCAGTGTGGTGCCACGTTTATGAGATTACCATGATCTTATATCATGAAGGAAGAGATTAGGGTGCTTAACATGATTCTGAAAATGATATCAAAATAAAAACAAACCATATTTTCTATTGAGCTGCCTCGGTTAGTGCTGAAAAGGTAATTTTGGTAATCGAATAATCTGCAAAAACACTAAACATTCTCTGCTGCCTTTATTTATATAATTTAAAATCTCTAGGTTTTAGAACAAAACTAGCAATTTGTAGATGAGCCCTTAGCTCACACACACACACACACACACACACACACACACATATAAGAGGCTTTTTAAACAAGCTAAACGATCAATTAATGGAGCGAAATCAGCAGATAAAATAAAAAGAACCAACAGCGCTCAATAGTAATGCATTACACTGTATTTCTGTTTGAGATGAACGCCTTACTATTCAATCTCCGCCACCATGAATCATGCATTCTTGTTCTCCACTGATATAATAGTCAAAGATATGAGAGTTGCGGACATGCTAGAGAAAGAGCTCTCAGTGTTGTCCTAAACAATGGCCATTTGAAAAGCTGCGTTTGAAGCCGCGCCAAGTGATTGGGAATAATCAAATGACAATAATCAGATGAAAAGAGAGGCAATCTCAATAAACTTTGTCATTCAACTATTCAAGGTTCAATCATATCAGAGGTGTTTTGCATAACTATGAGACCCTGGTTCTAATCCTCAAAGGGTTTGGGGGCTACTTGGCTTTGCACTGTAGTCATTCAAGGTCTCAACCCGGTAGGAAATATGGGCTGCCATAGCAACACAAAGATGGCCTCTAAAGGCTTAGCATAATTCTTCCCTAATAGAAAAATAACAGCGGCAAATCCCGTCCTTAGTGAACTGGCTTATTTGACAGAGGCAGACTCCCACCTGTGAAGCACATAGTCACCACACCAATGCGCTAAGACTACGATAAGATGAAAAAGAGCCCATCTCTGGATGGGGATGGGCCGCCTAAGCTCAAGCCAAATTCTTTCTCCTCTCTGAAGCTGAAAACAGCCCACAGTGTGTCTCTGGCTAGCTTTAGGTTTTTGAAGCGGGACAATATGAGCTGCCAAATGAATCATACTCTCTATATAGTGCTTAACTTTGAAGTGCTTAAGCCATACTCTGAGAAAAAGTTTTGGCAGGAGAAGATAGCTTATATTGGATCAAATCTCAGCCGGTGAATTGTTTTCACCTCCTCTCTCTGGTTTTTGTGTTCACAGGATGTTCTGGTGGTAGTAACGTGGCATTAGGATGTTCTAAACCTGCCTAGTAACCGTTCCTCTCCTTTCTGATTGTGATCACAAAATATGTGATCCCCCTCCTCCCTTTACCCCTCTCCCCGCTTTGTTGCCAGGTACCACAGAGATGGAGTCTTGTCACTGTGTGAGTTGCATCAGGATGATGAGCACCGGGGAGAGAATAAATTACCGCCACACTTTAGAGTGGGAGGCATGTAAGTATCAGCCGCTACAGCAGTGCATTGCTCTCTGCTTATGGAATCACTAATGAGGAGCGATATCCAGCGATGTTGCAGCCATGGTGATCGAGCTAAAATCAAAGGCTTTATGAAATCATTACTGTCAAAGCCGGCTATGAAAATCAAATGATTGCCCAACACGGATTTCTCTAAGAGGTATATAGTGCTGTTTTGTCACACGCAAAGGCTAAGATAGAGAGGCAGAAGGAGAGAAAGGGAAGTTGTAATCGAGAAACGTGATGCTTCCACTACCGCGCACCTGAGTCAGCCATTTTTAGCTCCACTGGATTTCTGTTTATTCACTATATTCAGCAGCCGGAGCCTCATTGTCTGGCTCAGACGCCACATCTTCCTGTCAGTATCCACTTGTCTTATTCAGCTGCGTTTTAAAAGGTATTCCAGTCCGCAGGGATGAGTTCTGTTGGCTCATTCCTGACTGTGTATAATCTCATCATTGTGGGTGATGTTTTTCTGCTTCATGAGAGCATGAAGTCAAGATGACAGAGCAGAACTGCGAGCAAGATTATCATTATATCATGATGTCCTCGCAGCTCAGGGCGCACAACATGTTTTTTGGCTTGCTGTTACCTAACAACAATATTAAAAAAAAAGCGAAAAAGGTTTTTAATTTCTCTGAGGATAAACTCTCCCTATCTTCACATCTGGTACTTGTGGTTCTGATAACCACGAGGGTGATGTATTAGTGCTCTAAAGGGACTTTTTTGTCATGCAAATTCGCCAGCTTTCTTTTCTTATCAATTCATCTTTTTGCTGTTGGGCAAAATGCAAAATTCATATATTAATATTCTATTCCACCCATTATATTAAGAGTTATTCAATATATCACCATCAAAAACAATATCTTTTCTTTACCCTTTAAACCTTGAAATTCTGCTTTTGTTACCCTTGGCAATAAAAGCCTCCTCTCTGGATCCTACACATTCCTGCGGCTTGCCTATATTATGGAGTGATCGCAGTGGTGTCCTCATATTAAATGGCAATGATGACATTTAAAATGGCCGTGTGTGGGACTGAATCTACTTTATAGTGCAGCCTCAGTGGCTAGGTGAATAGCAGAACAGAGTAATTAAATCAACACTGTATGGACGGCTGTCCAATGAGAGGCCAGAAGGGAATCCCACTGAATGTCGGCCTCCTGTACACCGAGCACCTTCACACATCAAAGCTTGCTCAGCACCATGTCTCAAAGATTCACATCTCCAGGAAAGAATGGCCTCTGCTGAGATATGGGCACCTCTGGCCTCATTTAACGTACATGGTCCCCTCCCCCTCTCAAGGCCTGAATCCGAGGATAGAGTGGCTATCTGACGAGATCACACAGAGAGGTGCGGGAACTTAAAGGCAAAGAGTTACTGTGCATCCTACCAGGAGTCTCAAAAGGGTTCTATTAAAACACGTTCAATATGCCGGTCAGGGCTTTCAAAGTGCTGCACACCCTCTAGCCCCGGCAAACTCAAAGGGCATCCGTGCACATTCAGTAAAGGGAATCTGGCCCCCATTAATTTAATGAGTCCAGGGTATTAGTATGCCATAGCCAGCTGAGAAGTCTCCCTTTTTTCATCTCTGGCGGAGTTTTAAGGAAAGATCCACCAACTTGGGAGTGACAAAGGAGAGCAGGGGAACGAGGTGCGCTCATCTAACCTGAGATCAATTTCTAGCTGTCAGTCCTCGGAGGGCAATTTCCTGTGGTTAAGATGTCTTTGTGCAAAGTGGAAATCCAGATAAAGAATGTGGAGTGGCACTTTTACTGTCACCAGGAGAACTTTGCTGTCTCTTAATCATGATTGCATCCTCAGAAAAACAGACACAAAAGTTGTAAAAAAAATAAATAATGGGCAGGGGATTGGTGCTCAGAGACATATTTGCATAACATATTTGGAAACATGCTGTGGTCATTATAGCACCGTGAGCTCTTTTTTTTTTCATTCGGATCTTGTCTACAGTCACTTCACAGTTAATTAGCTTGGTAAACAGCAGAGCGTTGTTGCTTTCCAAAGCTCTAACACCTGACTTAAAGAAGAACACACAGCCTGTCACTATACAATGAGCTGACACGCAACTGACAGTCACCTGTAAGAGATTACAGAGACAGTGGAGTTTGCCAGGGCCTGTCAAACCAGGAAGTAGCAGCTGCTGGAGCTAATTAAAGACATAGCAACATGGTAACATAGCCCAGCTCAGGGCCACATCAAACACTCCTCTTCATGCCAGTCTGGAGTCTCATCTCTGGGATGTTGAGGCCCTCTGTGACCTGTGCTGGGAGCCTGCTGGGCCTTAGGCCTGACCTGAGAGCTGCGAAGTGAATTGGAATAGGTCAGGATCACCGTGGGGTGCACCTGGAGCCGACTTACCTGCGTCTGTGTATCTGCATACCAAAATGTGGCCATGCGGCTGCGTGGGTGCGGGTGCGTGGACTCTGACCTGCACAACAAAGCGAAAGAGAGAGCCTGGGTGAGAGGTCAGAAGGAGAGAGGAGGCTCAGGGAAAACACACGCAGGATGCATTGGCTAAACATGATCAGAGGGACCCATATGGCTCAGCTGAGGTAGAACCAGATGCCCTCAGATGTCCTGGTGAAATATAAGCTCAATGTAAACAACGCCTCCTCAGTGTGGATTGTGCTTTAAGAAGTATTTCACTGCTGGAAAGATGGTCTTTTCATAAAACTAGGCTGTCTTTTTAGAAGAAAGATGAAAATACTTTTGAAATTGATCCTTGATGACTAGAGAAAACAGAGAAAAAGGGCTGGAGCGTTTGTTTTTGCTCAAGAGGTAGAAAACCTACAACTACCAGAATGCACTGTGCTGCACTTTTCAACACAGGAAACAAAATGGCGACCGGCTGAGAACAAACAATCTCAAAACACACCTAAAAGGTAAGCTAACATATATTTAGCACTTAGGTTAGAAATATGGAACTGTTAACAGAATATGGCTTTATATTTGATCAGCGCTTCGTATTTTTTACTGTTTTATCGCATTTTTTTTCTCAGTCTGTTTTTACAATACAGGAAACAGTTTGGCGCCCACTTCCGGTTTACAAACGTTCGTGTTATAGCCAAACAGTTCGCTAACACACGTCTCTGAAGACATTTTAGACAAGAAATACGCAGCACAGCAACAGAATATTAGTTAATATTTGGTCAACACTGCCTAATTTTGCAGTTAAGTCTGAATTTAAGCAGAGTTTGGGAATGAGAGAGGCGAGTCTTTCTCTTGATTTGCGTATACTCTTTGTATCCATGGTGACGGGCATACGAAAATAAAAGAAACTACTCGCCATATTACCTATCCTGCATCACTGACCTACTTTGTCAGTCGGTAAACTAAGTTAGCATTTAGCTAACATTAGCCAGCATTACCTATATTGAGACACACTACATTAATTTGGATGGAAACATTACTAAGCAATAATCCTCCTGAAGGTGTAAAAGAAACAGACAGGGAGCTGCAGTGTTGGTAAGTGATAGCAAATGTTACAGCCTCTCAAGCTTAATCACTGTCATGACTTATGTGTGTGTTAGCTAATAATATATATGAATGTTAGTTAGCATTAATGTAAATCATTGAGGCAAAAAGCAAAGCATTGCAGCATGGGGTTAAGTCCTAGTTTGGCAGATATTTACCTAACTGACAGGCCGAATCATTGAGTCCAGCCAGAATAATAATCAGAGCTATTAAAAATTGATCTGATTATAATTACAGTCTGGTTGGGGATAATAGGTCCGACTTGCCCCGTTTGTTGTACCATGATGTAACATTAACTATCTTGGACCAAACAGGGGCTCAAGACAGATCTGTGATCTATTTGTAAGCCAGAAAAACAAACCTGCACGTTTAGATAAAAAACAGTCAACATGTTTTGTTGGGTTTTTTTTGTGAAGGCATTTTTCAGTCAAAGGTAAAAAACACATATGATAGATTATAGTGTCACTTGTCATGCTTGTCCCATTGACTTAAATAGAAGTAGCACCAAAGTCTGGCACCAATTCAAAATTCAAATGCTGTCACTGACATATTGACTTTTTTCTTTTACAGTTTCCTTGATGAAAATGAGGAAGTACGATCTATAGTTTGAGCAACAACCCAAGAGCCAAGGGATTTGAGCTGAGAGATGAGATGGGACATCTGGGTGCTGGTAAGATGGATGGAAGTTTACTATAGTTCATATACACACACTACCCACATTGTCATGATACAAACCTGGCTGATAATCAGGAAAGTGTCCCTGTAAATTTAATTTAGTGATAAGATTAAATTAAAAGTCTTTAACTCCTGATTAAATAACACTTACATATGCCCAGTTATAAATTAAAAAGCTGTTGTTCTCAAAATAACACTGATCTCAAATGTAATGAGCCCCCTCACTGAACAAAAAGTACCTGAGGCCCGCTGAGGAAAGGTTGTTCCAGCCAATATTTATAGACATGTGATAAAAGACAAAAGATAAAAGAATGGATAGTTGACTCTCTCTGGTCCGTCTGTTTCTTCTCTGAATGTGCATGTCAGTTGTAGAGCCCTTGTGTAACTAACCACAGAGACAGATCCAAACAAATCTTTTATGAAACCTCTGCTCAGATGCAGTTGGGGAGATGATATATCAGATAAGGCTGGGGAAATAGTTTTATGGCAAAATAAAAATGTTTTTGACCTAACCCAAATTCCTCTCTGTAACTATGAGTTTAAATTGAAATCCTCTGTTTAAATAAGCCGTACTTTTACGGTTGAATATTGCTGCGTACACTTTTTGTTTAATTTTTCATCGCCTTCTGAACCAAATTGCTGTTTACGTGCTTCGAAGTCAGCTTCAAAGGCTCATAAAGGCATGACAGGGTTGATGAGCATGATTACATAGGTGGCAGTTGCAGTGCTGAGTCAGCATTGAATATAAAAAGAATGTGGCAGAAGGGTGTGGGCAGTGTATATGTCCAGTGATCTGGTCCTGTCAGGTGGAAGCATAGGTGTGGATTTCAGGGGGGACGCAGGGGACACGTCCACCTCAATATTTCTAATGTGCATTTGTCCCCCCAATAAAAACATGAAATTACGCCATAAATTGATGCAGAAAAGGCACAAATTTGTGCTTTAAAATTCACCATATCACAGGAAATTAAGTGTTTCTGGCAGAGGACCTCCAAGCCCCCTGTTTCAAATGTGTCCCCGTTCAGTGCTGAAACAAAAGCTACACCCTTGAGTGGAACGCTCTGGGTCCTCGTGTTGTGGCTCTCAGGGTTTGCCCTCTTGCCACGTCAAGGAAGACATCTGCACTATGGTGCCATAGCGTCTCCCCGGGGGGCCACGCTGCAGCACATGGCCCACCTGAAGCAGGTCTCTGTCTCTACCTGCCACACAGAGCGCTGACACAACGTCACGCAGGGGATGCGTGTAGGCAGACCTGTCTGCAGGCATGTTACTGTCAGCTGAGACAGACGCCAATTTGCCACTGTCTTGGGGAGTTGAACGCAGCACATCTGACATACGCAGAGAGCATGTTCAAAACTGCACCATCAAAATAGAGGATTTTTTTATAGTCTGCTAACACTTCACAATAGCAGTGAAAAATTGCAATCCAGCCTGTGTTGGGTATTTTGTGCGCCTGCAGAACAGTAGGCCTGAACAAAATGAGAAAGCCCTTGACTGGATTTCGGGGGCCTAATATTATTCTGCCACCCTGGGCAGCCCAGGTTCTCTTGTTGTGTAAAATAGAGTGAAGGCAACTTTCCGCTTCACGTCTTTATGGCTTCATGCTCAGAGTGACTGGCTGTTAGGGTCTGAGTGCTGTGTTCTTTCAGCAGTCATCGTGCGGTCTCAATCTCTTTACACGTTTCACTGCCAGGCTCCTCTCCACCAGGCCTCCCCAAACTGTGTAATCAGCAGATGTCTTTATAGAGCAGCCCACTGCCTCATGCACACCCTGCACTCTTCGCCAATTTCATTTTGGCAATATATAATTTTTTCTTTTAGATTATTATTATTCTTTCAGGCCCGGCGGCCATGTTGATTCGATTCCTAATGTGGCCCGGGGTTGCAAATATCGCTTCGGTCAGCAGTTTGAATTCATGCGCCTGAATGATATATCCCGAGTGTACTTAGGTTAGTCCGCTCTATTATACTGCAGACCTGCTGATTTAAACAAACTGACGTAAAGTAATTCAACAGAATCCCTTGACCTTCACAAAGACAAAGTCAAACCAACTGTGCAGGTTTTAGGGCTCAACATGCCTGAATAGTTTCAGTTATATAATATTTGAGGGGAAAAATCCTCTGGAAAGGACTCGACTGTCCTCAATGAGACTTTTGTGAAAAGCAAGTTTGCCTGAATTGGTTCAAACAGAGACACAAAAACTGCAACAAAAATCCAAATCATTGTAGAGTCAGCAAACATGTATTACAGCATAATTAACTGGACGTATATATATATATATATACGTATTTTAACACATTTCCACAACTCTGATGCAAACAGACAATAATGTGCAATTTTCCAGTGGGGAACTTTGTGACATTGCACTAATTTAAACGGTATTGCAGACCGTCATTTACGCTATGATGAGATATGGTGAAGACATAGCCACACACATAGCTGAGACACAGTCATAATATCAGAGCAGTACTTAGGTATGATTTTTACGAGAGTATTTTCATTTTATACCACTTTTCACTCCTCTACATTTTCCGATAGCTGCTAGTTTCTTTCCAGATTCCTGTATAATGACTTTATAAAATAATACATCGCCAAGGGTTAAACTGGGGCTGCAACTATCGATTATTTTCATTACTAATTACTCCACCGATTATTTTCAGGGTATTAGTATCGGCTCATCAACTAATCGTTTAGGCTTTGAAACGTTAAAAAGTAGTGAAAAACGCCCAATGCAACATCACAAAGCTCAAGGTGACGTGATTATTTTATCTGACTGATGATTAAAAATCAGAAAATATTCAATTTACCGTCATATATGATACAAACGAGCAGGAAGTCCTCATATTTGAGAAGCTGAAACCCGCTTAACTTTTTTGCTTGGAAAATATCTGACACAGTCAATCAGTCATCAAAATAGTTGCAGACTTTGTCACCGTCAGCTTAGCTCCACCATGTACAACTATGGCATGAAAATGAGTGGGATGATATATGATACATAAATATAACACTGACTTTTACACTTAATTTTGCAGCTCATATTTTTGTACTTTCCTTTTAAAGCAAAACTTTTGCTTCTAACAAACTCTCTACAGTCTTACTTAAGTGAAGGATCTGAACACTTCACCTGCCACTATACATGTAGTATGTATATATGAGTCAGAAACAGTTTGCAAAACTAACTTTTCTGGCCTCAACATCCACCCGTTCATCATGAGCATGTGGCAGCATGCAGTTTCATACCCATAAACACCACCTGGGCACCATCAGGGCACCAACAT